CTACATGAAGAGCAGTTATCGCTATCCATCCCTCAATGGCCGCTTCCTTTATATTCTGAGTTATGTCTCCTGAAGACTCTGTTTGCTTTTATATATTTGTAATATCATACGAACCATTTGCACTTACAAACTGGTTTGTGTGTGTTCTTACTTTTGTCTTTGTCCATATCTGTTTGTGTGTCTTTTGTTAAAGTTCTTTGAGACAAAGCTCCCTGTGACAAGTGCTAAATCTTACTTGATTTAACTGCCTGGCAAATAATATGATGGGTGGGATATGATGGGATATAAATACATCTCAAATCATGGCTACATGGCTGAACCATGGTCAGGGAGAAGGTCACATTGATAGAGGCTTTTGCACCGTGTTATGCAGGTTGACTGAAATTGGAATTGGAACATTCATGAATTGAATGAGATCTCATGTCATGGATGGAGCCCTTTTTCAAATTGTAATCAAGTTGCCTGAATAGAGAGGATGGTTCTCATGAAGATGGCTGTATGTGTAAATCGTGTTCATCTGTGTTTTACTGCAATATGAAGTCCAGAATATGATGTCCAGTAAAAAACGATTCAAAATGAGTTTTGAGTCCAGCATTTTAACCATGTATGCAACAGATTTAAGTAATTAAACATAAAGAGAAAACTTTTTTTGGCATTTGATTTTTGTTTATTTTCCTTTTCCCACATGTTCTGCTTTTCCCAGCATCACAGTTTTGATGGGATCACTGTACAAAAAAAATTCACTCGATTTTGCTTTACAGATTTGATAATAAATCAAATGTCAAACACGGCACAATATATTGATTTTAGATAAAGCTGTATATAAAACAGTACATTACATACTAGTATATTACAGTAAAATATTACATTTTGAGTAAATAGATATTTTTTGAACCATCAGTTCTAAAGAACCGAGGAATTACGTGACTATACACAGAAACGGCTATTGTGTCCCAAAAATGTCCGATGTTATCTAATGTACGTGTGAGGGCTACACACAGGGAACAAGTTAAGGATCGGTAGTGTGTGTCAAACAGACAGAAGAAGTGTTTAAGACGTCAATGAATATTTTAAGAGGGAACGGGAGCTGGGGGAGTAATGACTGAACTGAAAGAGTTGGACTGCTGAGCGACAAAGAGTAATTTAATAGACGAACAGAGCAAATGTGCTGGAGGAGAGAGAAAATCTGGACGGAGGGGAGACGAATGAATGGGGGACTTATCTGGACTAAACGATGGAAAGAAGAACTCACATCAATTTAAATAAATGGATGAACGGACAAATAGATGCAGTGGGAACAGAATAACCAAACCTGAACAGGCTTATAACAAACTTGGGGGGTGATTCACACATACAAATGAGTTGGTCATGGGTTTTGGTGCCAATGTCACACAGGAGCAGCATTTAATCTAAGCAAGTTAACATTTAGACCTACCAGAGGACTTTTGACCAAAGACTGATCAGAGGGGATTTTAGGAGCACCCGGGCCACTCATTTCTTTCTCTGCTATGGAATTAGAGCACAGAGTGACGCAGATAGAGGGAGTCAGTGGTCTTTTATTATGAAAAAATGTCAGCTCAAATTCAGGAACAAAAACCAAAAACAGCATAAGAATGCTCAGTTCGTCAACTGGTCGCATCTCAATTCAAGGTTGAAACTCGTTACATTCAAGCAAAAATGAAGCATGGAAGTGTCCTTATAGATCACACATGCAGCAAAAGTGAATTTGTCAATATTGTGGACCTATGTCTCTGGAACAATCTGTCTTGCCTTTTAAATATAAATGCCCTTCTTTCAATACGTGGTTATACTTCTTACTTTTACCTGCATCTTTTGAGCTCAATTGCTATGCTGATGATTGTCCTCTCTATCTCTTGAATGCACACCGGCCCTTATCTGAGTAATTTTAGACCGACAGATACGGGAAGTGATTGGAAACCAGAGATTAATTTGAATTGAAGCTTGTCAGAGATGAGCCAAGCTCCAATTATCTCCATCCAAATGACATACCGCTGCTGCTCAGCTTCAGCTCCTGGTTGTAATGACATAGTGACTCAAACAGGAAAGGTGTCTTCAAAAAATGAAATTAAAGATATAATCTCCACAGAGTGTGGGTAATCTTCATCGGCCCTATCGGCTTTACAGTGACTTTTGCTTGTATGGGTTTTTTCATTTAAAAAATATGCATACAGACCAGCCTGTTTAGTTCCGGGAAGAGTTGGTCTTAACTGGCCCTTTGAATCATTCAACAAATAATAGCGATCTACTAGATCTAACAGGAAGTCTGATTCTGGATAAAATCCTACATCAATGCCGTGGGTTGCTCACTCAAAGTGCTTTTCAGTCTTCCACCACAACCCTCTGCTACTGAGGATCGTAATGCGCATTCAGAGCTTCTTAACATTTATAATGAATGATTGCCATTACATTTTGATAAAGCACTTCAAATCAGCAAGATCCATCGTCTCATGTATCTGGTTTGATGGAAGATAACGTATTT